GCCTTCCACAGGCCTGAGGGCAAAGAGGACCCCTGCCAGCGAGTATGGTCAGTCTTCTGGGGTGGGGGAGCCAGCAAGTCTTCTCTGGTAGGCTGAATAATGGGCCTGCAAATATGTCCACATCCTAGGCCCCAGAACCTGGGAATTTGTTACCTTGTGGAGCAAAAGAGACTGAGTAGACGTGATCAAGTTAAGGATTTTGAGATGGGAGGGTATCCTGGATTACGTGGGTGGGCTGCATGTCCCAGTTAGAGGGGGGCAGGAGAAACCAGTCAGAACGAAGGCAATGTGATGATGGAAGCAGAGGTTGCAGTGAGGTGATTTTAAGATAGAAGAAAGGGCCACAAACCAATGAATACAGGTGGTCACTAGAAGCTGGCCAGGGTAAGGAAATAAATTGTCCCCTCAGACCTTCCAGAAGAAGCCAGCCCCACCAACACATTGACTTCAGCCCAGTAACAGTGATTCCAGACTTCTGACCTCCACAACTGTGAGAGAATAAATGTTGTTTTAAGGCGCTAACACAGTGGGAATTTGTTCTGGCGACGATAGGAAACTCACACATCCTCCTGGCAGCAGTAGGCAGGTGCTCTGTCCTTCCTCTCAAGGTCTCTGGATGGCCGCTGCCTCTGATCTGCTGCTAAACCTTCCTCTTCCTGTTGACCAGGCTCCCATCTGGCCCAGGGAGGAACTGTCACTGCCAACCTCTCTCCACCCAGGCCCACCAGGGCCCCAGGCCTTGCCAATGGGAAGTCCTGCTGGCCTGGAGATGGTGGAGAGGGCCAGAGATGCATTCCAACTGTGACGAAAGCAGGATCTCCTGATGAGGGTCCCCATTTGAAGATATGTGAGACAGTGTTCAGCTTCAAAATCTTAGAAATGTCTTGGAATTTTCTCCTTTACAGCTGGAGGGAATCTCTGCCTCATGGCACAAGACAGAGCAATCTGACCAGAAGTATCTGGCCTTCCAGGGGAGATGAAAGCTGAAATGGAAGACCCGGTACAGAGTTGGGGAATGTCCCTGGAGTGTCCTCCTTCCCGGATCCCCCGCCAGGGTGAGTGTCTTCATTCTGGACAAGCAGAGCTGGACAAGAGTCCCCTCAGGTCCACCTTCTGGAGCTTTCTCTGCTCTGCTTCCCATGCCGAACCTTCTAGAACCTCCAGTACTGCCCCCTCCTGGAGGCTGTGAGCACCGAATAGCCACCGTTGCCCCATACTCCCACTCATTGCTGTCCTAGGCTTTCCCTCTCTCCCCCAGAGAAAGACTCCAGCGAGAAGAAGCTGGTCACTCAGACTGTAACACCCTGCCTGCACCAGGCAGCGAGCCTGGAGACAGGAGCCCTGCCCTTATTTCTCCTCTTTGCCCTCAGACTCTCCTTTGTTCTGTTCTCTCCATTTTCTTCCCTAGAAATTCTCCACTTTTCTCCGTTTTGGTAATGCTCTTAAAATGGGTTTGCTCAGTGCATTAATGGAGAGGGGCAACCCTGTTCCTCCTCAGGGCCTTTTCCAGGAACCTGGCTCTCACCCTGGGGGGAAACCCCTGTCGATGCAAATAATCCATAATCAATCTGTAAATCAAAATTGGGGTGAGTTATTATGAGTCAGATCTGAGGACTAGTTGGGGGACTTCCTTCGCCAAGGAAGGGCACCAAAGAAGTGGGGTGTACAGAGTGGTTATATACCGTCTTGGAACAAAGAGCATACATCACATATGACAGGAATGTCCCTTTTGCAATTGTCATGAGATGCTTGGCTGGCACAGCAGATCAGTGGTCAGCAGGTCAGTGGTCACAAGGTGAGCACAGCAGGTCAGTAATTAATCTTTAGTTTCTGAGAAGTGATGCTTATCCTTAAAGAAATGCCAATATGAGGGGAAGTTACATCCCTATCTCGAAGGGCATCATTGTTGTCTTTCGGACATAGTAAATATTCTAAGGAGATGTACAACGTATGCTCAACAGGCCACGCCAGGCCCTTTTGGAAAAACGAGGTCAAGCTGAATTAGTTTTAAATCAAGTGGTTTTCTCATATCCTCCAATATATCCTGTTGCTTATTTGTTTATCATCCCCTAAATGCAGGTGGAAGGCCCGCTCCCATCGGGAGGGCCGGACGCAAATGAGCGGACAGCGCTCCCGGAGCCCGCGCCTCTGCCTCGCTCCCAACGCTGGAACGCCCGCAGCCCGGAGCCAACCGCTTCTCCCTCGGACCTTGCCTCGGGGCTCCAGATCCTTCCGAGTCTCCCGCGGCCCCTCTCACTCTCTCTGCATCCCTTTCCGTGCTAGCTTGAGTTTCTTTCAGGCTTCTGCTTGTCTGACCCCCCTTCTTTCTTCGAAATTCTCCCCTTTCTCTCGTGGCTTTCCCACCCCAAGTGAAACAGGTGTTTCATTTAAAGGTTTAGGGCGGCTGGCCCACAGAAGCAGCGCCTGGTCGTAACGCCCCCCGCTTTGGTCGGGGACGCTGGATGTTGGGCCCGCCAAGGTCTCAGGCCAGACGTTGCGAGCTGGAGAGGGTCCCTGCTCGGCCAGCGCCAGGCAACTGGTTCTTTCCTTCTTCCCAGTTCCAAGGAGCGGCGTACGGGGTCTCCCTGAGGACGTCAACATGGGGGTGAGAGCACCTCTTCCCAAGTCTCTCTCCCTCCCCGGATGTGGATCTCGGGAGGGGTCCCTGGGCGCCCGGGAGCCCCTTTAAGGTTTAGTAATGATTGAGTGGAGACCTGCCCTGTCCTCCCACCTACCTCCGCTGGTCAAAGGCTACTTCAAGTGGAGAGAAGTTCGCCGCGGTAAGGAATCCTGTTTCAGGTGGTGAGGCAGGAAAACAGGTCCTCTTACATATCGCAGGGACAAACAACTTTCTTTTTTGGAAAAACAATTTGACAACGTCCAATAGCATTAAAATATATCTGCCCCTAGACCCAGTCATCTCATTCCTGGATATCCATTCCGAGGAAATAATCACTAAGATCACATACAAGGATGTTATTGCAAAATTTTTCCTGGTGCTCCTCAATAGTGAGAGGCCTAGTGCATTGCAGTTTATTTCCACTGTGGGTTAGGGCCTCAGAATTAGTGTTAGGGTTTGTAGGACTAGGGCATGGGGATTAGGGTTCCAGTGAGGATCCTACTGTTAGAGTTTGAGTTAGGGTTGGGGTGAGGCTCACAGGTAAGATTTGGGTTGGTACCTTAGGCTTAGGTCCTTAGGGTTAAAGTGACTGTCCGGATTAGGTCTTAAAAAGAATGTGCTAGATCCCTATCATCTGATTCATGTGTATTTCTCAGATGTGTTTAGGAAGAAAAGTAAGATGCAGAGAAATACATACATCATAATCCCATTTTTGTAAACCAAATGGTGACCAACTTTCTCTGGGTGCCATTTATGTTTATACATATATATTCACATGAGAATGTCATTAACATTGGTTAAAGGCAGGGAGAGGAGGGGAAAAGATTTTTTTTTTAAGCTGCACTTCAAAGAAGGGGCACCCACCTCTTATGACCTCACTGACCTCACAGGGAAACAATCACCTGTCCCCAAGCTTCCCTCTTCTGCCTGGCTCCCATCCACCTTTCCATGTCTGTGGACACCTTGATGTACAAGATGAGGAATACAAATGCTATCCACATCCTTCAGGAAAGATCCAGACCCTGCCTTTCATGGCCCCAACACACAAAATAGAATACAATACAAAGTTCACCATCTCAATAATAAACCTAAGGCCTCTAGAAGAGAGTCTCACCTGCAGAAGCAGGGGTGTTGTGTTCTTGCAGGACACCATACAGAAGTGGCAGTGGTGGGGGCCCCTGTTCCAGGTCAGTACTTGCCTCATCCAAGGGGCTTCTGCTCCAAGAACCCAGAGTCTCTTAAGTTGTGCTAGACACTCGTCCTGCACTTAAGCCTTGAGGAATCTGGTGTGAATCTCCTGAATCACTCATCATATCTTGAGACCCTGAGCTGAGGGCCAGCCTACTGTGTAGCTGTCTGTCACTATTAAAGGAAGGAGGAGAGTCCTGGCTGTAGCCAACCTTCTGAGTCCCCTGGTGCTGCCACCCCCTGGTGCTCAGCAAACAATGCCAGGCTCCAGCCCTAAGCAGCGAGGGTCATATAATGCCTGTCTGGCATCTGTCATTTCACAGTGAGTGACCCTAGCCCAGGACAGGCTGCTATGGTACCCTTCCATCCTCCACACCCGTGAAGGGGTGCCTGGGGGATGATTTAGAGTAGGATTGTTTTGCTCTGTATCTAACGCTAGGTTCTCACCTCACCAGTCCTGTCCCTGTCCCATTCTAGAACAGTCTGGCCCTCTTCTGGTGCTGGCCACACAGGGCCTTTGGCCCCAGTGTTGGTGGGACATCTTGCCCCAGTCTTCCCTCCTCCTTCAGGACTTACCTCTGAGGCAGGTCTCGGGCCCTGCTTCTCTTTTATCATGGCTCGTTGAAGTGCTGCCCTGTAGCCCTCACTACCTGAGAGCAGGACACTAAATTGGATTCAATCAAGTTAGCAATGGAGAGAAGATGTGTAGGTGAAAAAATGGGTGGCTGGAAGCAGGACAGTGGGGTGGGAAGGTAGGTGGAATTTATGGAGAACAGAAACAAGAGAGAAGAAGGAGGGTGTGTGCAGGACAGTGGACTGGCATCTATCCTCAACCTGGTCCCATATTATCTGACTTGATATCAGAGGTTGAAGCTGATGGTGCCACTGAAGAGGAGTTTTGTGATGCTCTGGACAAAAGCACAGATTCTTCAGTGGCATGACACATAGAGTGGCTCCAGGAGGAGGAAGGGGCACTTCCCCCAGGCTCTGCATGGAAGCTGTGATCAGTATGGTGCCCTTGAGGAAAGAAGGGTTGAGGAGTACCCTGATGAGGAGCTCTCATGATGGCCAAGGGAAGTGGGAGGGTTCTCTAAAGGGCTGTGTGGGCCACAGATGGAGCGAGAGGGGAGGAAATCATAATAAGAGATAACATGCCCCGAACACTTAAGTATAGGTCAGATACTACATATAGCACTTTAGATGAGTATCTTCTTTAAGTGTCAAAGTGACTCTACATGGAATGTGATAATCCACTACATGTACAGAACACAGCCTAGGCACTCAGGTTTGAAGGTCAGCTCATAAGCAGATGATCATGATGTCTCCATCCTCAAGTTATTTAATTGCTCTGGGTCTTAGCTCCACTACCTGTAAAAGATAAAAATAATAGTGACTACATGAAGAGGATAAAAGGGCTAATAAACGCGAAGCACTTGACCTCATGGAGGACTCACATGAGCAAGTATAACTCTCACTTACTATGATTATCCCCATTTCTACTGTAAGTAAACAGAGGGTCAGTGACTTATCCAAGACACATACTGGGTTGTACAGGATCCACATTTGAATGGCTGACCCTGACACCAGAACACAAAATCTTACCATGGAAATGCATTTGCCCAATGGACTCAAAACTCAGAGTGTCTTCAGATGACCACGCCCTAGTATCCAGGTGGCAAGGGGATTTAAGTGTCAACCCAAAAACTTTATACCAACCTATATATCTCTCAAAAGTAAGGGCTAAAAAAATCATTGAAGACATAAAATTACTAAGAGAGCTTCCTCCCACACAGCATCACCAGAAGAACTATTGAAGAATAATGTCAGCAGGGCAAAAGAGGGCCCAGAGAATAGACCGGGATACAAGAAAAATGGCCCCAGAAATGTATAATTATATAATATAATTAATTTGTTTACCCATTTTAAGAACATAAATGTCCAAATAACAAAAAATCCATGGGAATAGTTGATGGATATTTGTGCTAGGACCCTTGTGAAGAGGATACAAATATGGGGGAAAAATGTTACTTTTGTTAGAAAATTTATAATTAAACTGATTTGGGGATGGGAATTCCAGAATGGCAGAGCAAGGAGGTCAGAAAATTCTCTCCTCAAAGAGCAATGTTAGAGACACCAGATCCAACTGGTGTAGGTTGTGGAGATGATGTATACTTACTTTTCTCTGCTTCTTCCCTCTAATGCAAATACTACCTTGTAAATTATTAAGCAGACAACAATAAAAAGACTCTGAAGACTGGAAAAAATAAAGCAAACTGACTATGGACCTCAGGATTTGAGGAATGACATGTGATGAGTTCCCTGTGTTTTTCTTTTTAATCTCTTATATACCCAGGACTTGGTGCCAGAGAGGTCTGAAACCTGGATCAACCAACAGGCATAGACAAAAAAACATAACAGTGAAAGCCTGCTCTCTCTGGCCAAAGGACAATAAAAGGGAAGCCCAACAGAGACTGAGTGGGGAGCCTCAACCTTCACTCCACAACTGAGTCACCAGCCAGCTACCTCAAATGCCCAAAGCAGCATCAGCAGCAAAGTCCTTGGTCTGCCTGCCATCACCAATGGCATAAGGAGACGGGAGAGCAGTGGCTTCTGACCCACCCCCGTTTCCAATATAAGGTGGCCCAGGGACACCAGGAAACACTTTTTGTCCCAAAGACAGCACCAGCAGGCATTGAACAGGAGCACCAGGAGCTCCAGAAGAATGAAGCAGACCAGAAGAGCATTGCAAGGCTCTGAAAGCTAAACCGTCAAGTTCACAAAAATAGGCTGGAACCTACAGGCTAAACCTACACAGACAAACAGCCTGCTAAATAGAAGACTGAAATAGGTTCAAGAGTCTCTTACATAACAGCCAAATGTCAGGGAAAATAGAAAATCATTCCTCATACTGAAGACTACAGAAACTGCAATTTGAATGAGAAAGAACAATCAACTGACACCAATACCAAGATGCAACAGATGTTGGAATTATCAGGCAAGAATTTTAAAGCAGTCGTCATAAATATGCTTCAATAATCAATTACAAATTCTCTTGAGACAAATGAAAAAAAATTAGAAATTTAAGTAATAAAATTAGAAGTTGTAAAAGAAGAACAAAACGGAGATCATATAACTGAAAAATAAAATAACTAAAAGTTTTACACTTACTAGATGGACTCAATAGTAAGTGAAGATAACAGGATAGAATCAATGAACTTCAAAACAAGTCAATAGAATTTACTCAATTTGAAGAGAGAGAACAGAGACAAAAAAAAAAAGAGAACATACTCTCAAGTAGTGGAAGAAATAATGCCTAAAAATGTCCAAAATGTGGCAAAAGACACAAACCTACAGATTCAAGAAGCTGAGCAAATCACAAAAAGGATAGTAAAAAAAATCCACACCAAGACACAACATAATTAAAATTCTGAAAACTAATAATTAAATTTCTGAAACTAACAAGGAATTTTAAAGCAGCCACAAAGAAGCAAGATATTACATAAAAAGGAATGCCAATTTTAATGACAGCAGATTTCTCACTAAAACAATGCAGGCCAAAAAGAAGTGGCACGTTTTTCAAGTGCTCAAAGAAAAGAGCTGTCAATCCTGAATTCCACATACCTATCCTTCAGGAATAAATAGGAAATAATGATATTCTCAAAGGAAAACTAAGAGAATTTATTGATAGCAGAATCTACCCTTAAACATTCACTAAAGGAAGATCTCCAAACAGAAAGAAAATAGTAGCAGAGGGAGGCTGAGACCTTCAGAAAAGAAATATTATCAGAATGGATAAAAATAGAAGTAAATATACAATCTTTCACCTCATGAGCTTCTTTAATCACATTTTATTGTTGAAGCAAAAGTTATAACACCATCTGACATGGTGCTCAATGTATATAGTGGAAATACTTAAGACAATTGTATTTAAAAAGTGAGGACGGTAAAGGGAAGTAAAGTTTCTACATTTCACTTGAAGTGGTAAGACATCAACACCATAGGCTGTGATATTACATATACTTATGTTTATGCCTTTAGTAAATACCAAGAAAACCATACAAAAATGATAGGCTGAAAAACATTGCAAATAAAGTGGAACTGTAAAAAATGTTCAAGTAACTCACAGGGTGGAAGGAAGAAGAAACAGAGGAATGAGAAATAGTGGGAACAGACAACAAATAAGATGACAGAAGCATGCCCTAACATATCAATAATTACTTTAAGGTGCATGATCTGAATACACAAATTAAAAGACAAAGATTGGCAGACCTAACCATGCATTGCCTACAAAACACTCACCTCAAACATTATGACATAGGTAGGTTGAAAGTAAAAGGATGAAAAAAGACAAAACATGTATGTAAACATTATTTTTTTAAAAGCAGAAGTGGCTATGTTAATATTAGGTAAAGTAAACGTCAGAGCAAAGAAAATTATTACGGACAAAGAGAAACGTTACATAATGACACAAAGATCGATCCACCAAGAAGATACAGTAATTCTAAATGTGTATGTACCAACCAACAAAGCTTCAAAATACATAAAGCAAAAAGTGAAAGAGCTGAAAGGAGAAATAGATAAATCCACAAATGTAGTTGGGGACTTCAGTGCCCACTCATCAATTGATAAAACTAACAGAAAATCAGCAAAATAGAAGGATTCAACAATGTTATCAATAAAAATAATTTAATTGACATTTATAGAACACTCCCAACAACAGCAGAATACACACTCTTTGCAGCACCCATAGAACATTTATTAAGGTAGCCCTTATCCTGGGTCATAAAACAAACCTCACAAATTAGAAGAATTGAAATCATAGAGTATGTTCTCTGACCATGCTAGAATAAAACTAGACATCAGTTACAGAAAGGCAAGAAAAAAATCTCCAGTACTTGGAAATTAAACAACATGCTTCTAAATCATTCATGAGTCAAAGAGGAAGTCCCACAGGGAATGAAATATACATAGATTTGAATAAAAATAAAAACACAATATATCACAATTTGTGGGATGCATCTAAAGCAGTGCTGACAAAGTTATTTATAGCAACAAATGCTTACATTAGAAAATAGAAAAGAACTGAGTAGAACTCAATGATCTAAGTTCCTATCTCAAGAAACTAGAGAAAGAAGAAAAATAAATATCAAGTGAGCAGAAGAATTAATAAAGACAAAGGCAGCAGTCAATGAAATTGAAACAGGAAAATATTTTAAAAATTAAACAAAAAGCTAGATCTCTAAAAAAGAAAAAGAAAATTGGTAAACCTTTAGCAACGCTGATAAAGATAGAAAACACTAGTCACCAATTATCTGTAACTAAAGGGGATAGGACAACAGATCTCACAGCCATTAAAAGAATAATGAGGGAATACTATGAATAAATTTATGTTCATAAATTTGACAGCTTAGAAGAAATGGAGGAATTCCTCAAAACTACAAACTACTAAGACTGGTGAAATAGATAACCTGAATATTCCTATAACTAGTAAAGATATTGAATCTGTAATCATAAATCTCCCAAAGAAGAAATCTCCAAGCCCAGATAGTTTCACTGGAGTATTTGCCAAATATTTGAGGAAGAATTAATGCTAATTTTATACAATATTGTCCAGAAAATATAAGAGAATGGAATACTTCTCAACTCATGTTTTGAAGCCAGTATTGTTCCAATACCAAAACCAGATAAATACAGCACATAAACAAAAAGACCAAACTGTTCATGAATGTAGATGCAAAAATCCTCAACAAAATTTTAGCAGATCAAATCCAACAATGTATAAAAATAGTATGGGCGGGCTCCATGGCCGTGTGGTTAAGTTTGAATGCTCTGCTTCTGGTCCAGGGTTTCGCAGGTTGGGATCCTGGCCGTGGACACGCACCACTCATCAAGCCATGCTAAGGCGGCATCCTACATAGCACAACCAGAAGGACCTACACCTAGAACATACAACTATGTACTGGGGGCCTCTGGGGAGAAGAAGGAAGAAAAAAAGATCAGCAACAGATGTTAGCGCAGGTGCCAAACTTTAAAAAAAAATGTTGATTCTTAAAAATAATAATACACCAAGACAAAGTAGGATTTATTCCACGTATGCACAGCTGGTTCAATATTCTACAATCAATCAATGTAATCTACCATATTGACAGGCTAAAGAGGAAAAATCATATATGATCATATCAGTTGGCAACAGAAAAAAACTTGACAAAATTCAACAGCCATTCATGATTTTAAAAAACAAAAATTCTTACTACAGTAAGAATAGAGATCATCCTCAACCTTATAAAGAAAATCTTACAAAAAACCTACAGCCAACATCATAATTAATGGTGAAAGATTGAATGCTTTTCCTCTAAGATCAGGAACAA